CAAAGTGGTGTCTCGCGTAATCGTGTAGGAAAGACCTAGGATAAATGGTTTAATCATAATAGTTCTACCGAATACTGCTCCTTTTGGTATTTTTATAAATAGGTCATTAAATTGGACATGATTAGAGTAAAAACGTAGTCAATAAAAGCAAATATGATTTAATTAAGGTTACGTCTTCATTGTAATCTAGATCCACATGCCAAGAGAAGTTTCACCTATTTGTTTGTCTCTCCGAAATAAAACATCCGCCGCAGAAAACCAGGTCGACCTCGATGTCCTACTTATTTCACACTTACATCAACCTGAATGGTTAAACGGCCGTGCCCAATCGACCAATCAGGGCGCAGATTATTAGGTTGAATTGGTGGCACTTGCATACGGCACGCGTACGTTAGTAGCCCGCTTACCAGTGCGCTTAAGAATCGATCAGATTGGCGGTGCGACCGTGTGAGCCACAGGGGAGAGCGTGGGCAGAGTGGTCCGCTGAAATGGATGCGGTGAGAAGGAATAACATCGTCGCAGAAGCATACCGAGAGGGAAGACGCAGAAGCCCACTGCAACAGTGCACTTCCCACTTGGCGTGTCTTTGTGAGTTTGTGGTGGCACAATGCTCGCCTTCCGTGGTGAAATGGGGAATCGGCAAGTTCCTCTTAACAAATATGGAATTCTTAGCCTTCTCCTTATATCTTCCTTCGTATTTACTGCCCTTGGTAAGTCCATATTTGCTCTAAAACTCAATATTGTCAATCTCAATATCACAGTTCCTTTAGAAAAGGATATTATAATTCCCCGCTTTCTTGCTATCTGTACTTTATGTTCCTTCATGAGTTATACTATTTGGGTGAAACAGAATGTTTGCTAAACATTCCATTCCTATCTTACACGTAAAATTCAATGCCAACTAAGATCTCCCTGCTTATGGGCATAAAGCACTTGAGCTAGTGGAAAAAATTGGATTTGATTTTTTGCTAACGGGGGAAATTGTCTTTTTTTTCTCATCCTTATACCTCTGCTTAGATGACGATATTCCGACAGAGCGCATTAACTTCAAATGACCATTCGTTATTTCCATTGGTTGAAATTAGTTAGAAATTCAATTTCAGCATAATCTCGATTTGATGTCCCTCTATGAAAGATCTGTATTCAAAGTTTGTGGTTATTGGCAATTTAGTCTCGTACATGTATCTTTAACATGAGCTTATTTGAGGTTTATTTTAACCTCCCTTTTAGGACAAGTAACAAGTCCAACAGCAGCTATGGGTCCTCAGGGTCCTCGTGGTGACCCTGGACCAACAGGTCCAGAAGGCGCAGTTGGACCTCCCGGTCCCCCTGGTCTACAAGGACCTGCAGGTCCTGATGGCGCTCCAGGGGAAGTCGGTCCTCAAGGTCCTCCCGGTCCCAACGGAAGAAATGGTCGTGATGGTCTACCTGGTATTGCTGGTCCTCCAGGTCCTCAAGGTCTCCCTGGACTTCCTGGTGAAGCTGGTGCCACTGGTCCCCAAGGTCGTCAAGGTTACCAGGGTCCCCCTGGTGAAAAGGGTGAGGCTGGATTCGATGGCATGGCTGTAAGTTTCCGATCTTGAATTCTGCCACTTTCAATGTGATCATTAGAAATTCAAAATATTTTACCAAATGGAAATAATGACACCTAGTGTGTGACATTAATTTACAAGTCCTTCGAAGTTTCTTGTGAATAAATTCAAAGCCTTATGTCCTTCAAGGTGCTGTTTTATTCTATTTCACTGCATAGCCTCGAAATTATGCTATCTGACATGGCAGACGAGCTCCTGAACCACCAAATGAAAAGATCAATATTTTCGAAAGGCGTTTCTAAAAAATATAATATTTCTATTAACTATTAATGCATAATTACTTTAAATGTAATATTTTTTCTAATTTTTAAGAGATGTAAAATGTTAACTTATAAACATCATTAATGAGTTATCATTAGGACTAAATTTGTTACAAAATCGTCTTGGTTGTCTTAATAGGGATCTCCTGGTCCCATGGGTCCACCTGGTCCCGCAGGTCCAATGGGCACTGTTGGTCAAATCGGTCCAACAGGTTTCCAGGGCCCTATTGGTCCGCGTGGTGAGTCTGGCGCTGATGGACGAATTGGTCTCCCAGGGCCTCAGGGTCCAACTGGTCCCCCGGGTCCACCTGGTCAGTCTGGTCAAATCGGTCAAAAGGGTCAACGCGGTGAAGATGGTCCACGCGGTCCTCGTGGTAGTCGAGGTGCCACTGGTCCTGCTGGTGCTGACGGACCGGCTGGTGAACCTGGGCCTGTGGTAAGTTTTCGATTTTCAAATATTTGGCGGCAGTAGTGAACTTATAGTGCTAAGTTGCTTGTTCCAACAATCAAAGTCCAGAATATAAAATACTGAGAAGAAATAGTGGGGATGAAATTTTCTGATTAAGTCAAGTCCTAACTGTAACGCACACATTCATTGAATCCTGGGAAGGTAACATCCCCCCCCCCACTCAGAAATGGTGTTGAAGGTTATCAAAAGTTATCTGCCATTACCAGACCTGACTCCAGAGAAAAAAAATTGTTCCGGACATTCATCTTGAAAAAACGTACTCCTATGAGTGCCAGACCGATTAGCCAATATGAGCTCTCAAAAAATAAATCTAACTTGTAAAAATTCATCTTATAACTCGTATGCTAAGTCTCTGGGGGAATGTAGTCCACAGTGTTTTGAAAACCTTTTCTGCTAACCTCAGTGATTAAACTAGCAGTAATTCTATCATTTAAGTTACTTTAAGAATTCGAGCAGATTAGCCTGTGTGTGCTCGGAATGTTTGTGTGAAATGGTTAAGTAAGAAACGCTGAGAGGGAATGTCTAGTATTGAGAAGCGCATGCAAGAAGTCATTGTATGCATTCTTCTCAATATTGCATATAGATATTAATTTTCAGTGGATTTTTTGCTACAGGGTGAACCTGGAATGGACGGCAGACCAGGACCCCGTGGTGAAGCTGGTGTAGCCGGTCCTCAAGGTCAAATGGGAGCTGCAGGTCGACGAGGTGAACGTGGAGCCACAGGTCGACCTGGTGCTCAGGGTCGCAAAGGCCCCACCGGTGACCACGGTCCAGCTGGACCTGTTGGTCCCACTGGTGCCGCCGGTCAAAAGGGTGAACGGGGTCAAACTGGTCGTGATGGTGACCAAGGTGAACCTGGACCTCGTGGAGATCAAGGACCAATGGGAGCTCCAGGCGCTAAGGGAGCTCGTGGTGAATCTGGTCCACCTGGTCTAGCAGGGTCTCCTGGTCTGGATGGTCGTCAGGGTTTAGATGGTGCTGCAGGAGAAAATGGTCCACAAGGTGAACCTGGTATCCCTGGCCCCCCAGGTCCTATGGGTCGTCCTGGTATGGATGGTTTGCCTGGACCTCGTGGTGATATGGGTCCAAATGGCATCGATGGGAGTCCTGGTGTCAAGGGTGCTAGGGGTCCACCTGGTCCTCCGGGTCGTGCTGGAAACCTTGGAAAGCCCGGTACTCCCGGCACTCCTGGTGCTCTTGGCCCAGCTGGTCCCCCCGGTCCAACAGTAAGTAATCACTTATCACTATAACTGCTCTGCTTCATATATGTCTGTTTATCATAAATAATGGTATAAATACCATTGGCGTCAATAATTATTTGTTCCATTAGACATAAAATTTTGATTTTTGTGATCGAGGGATATCTGACCTGTCGATCCTTTACGAGTATTACTTTCCATTCCTCAAAAATACCCCGATTGTTGACAACAGTTTTCGATCGAATACCCTAGAATTGCGTGAGTTTATGTCAACAGGAACGGAAATTGACAATGCTGTCTACTTTAATCACACTGACGCAGTGCAATCTAAGGCCGCCTTGGCGTCATGATTGAGTTATCAGTTGTAAATTTGTGCCATCTTTATTTTGCTCACCATGGCAACTGACAAATCAAAAGAAGCTTCCAGATCAGTAAAAGGATGCACTTTTGAAATGAAGCTTGACCATAGAATCCACTTTGTAATAAAAAAGCATAAACTCGACCTTTCGATTTCGATATGCCTTGTTTCATTTTGACTGGTAGTTTTTGACATTTTTAAAAGGTTGGCGAATTACAAGCTTGTGTTTGGCTCTATAGGTCGAGCGGGTTGTCGTTGTACCATCACGTTAATTCGAGGCCCATAACTTTGCTCATGTAACGCCCTTCATCTTCCCTTTATAGGGTGCTCCCGGTGGTATTGGTGAGCCCGGACCTAAAGGTCAACGTGGTTACCAAGGTTTGCAAGGTGACGTTGGAGAAACTGGCGAAGTCGGCCCTCCTGGTCCAGACGGTGCTACCGGTCCAATTGGTAATCAAGGCACCTCTGGTTTTGTCGGCCCTGCTGGTGATCAAGGTCCCTCAGGTGCTGTAGGTCCCGAGGGCGATTCCGGTTCACCTGGTTATGATGGCTCCCCGGGTAAGGATGGAAAAGCTGGTCCTCGTGGTAAGGATGGCAACGCTGGCCCTATTGGTGAACGAGGTGAACAGGGCCCAGTCGGCCCTCGTGGCATCCGTGGTGAACGCGGCCCTCCTGGCGAAAAGGGTAGTGATGGTGAAGCCGGTGATGTTGGAGCTCAAGGTCTTACTGGTCCTTCTGTAAGCACACATTTTTTATCTTTAGCCAGGTACATGTAGGCAGATATTTAGTGATTCTACTAGGTTTTATTGAGCTACTATCAAAGAGATTAAAAAACGATAGGAGAGATCGTTGAGTCGGTAACACATTGTACAAGGTGAGGATAGGGAGAAGTTGGCGACCAATAATCAGTGAGCAGGCGTTTAAATGCTGAGAATTGAGTAACATACAGAGAAGCGATAAAAGTAGAATACTGATAATAGTAAATCACGGTAGATACATTGTAGAGTGTTGTAATGAAATTATATCTTGAATCAAAAATTTGGTCAAATGATAATACTAAATTTTCGTATTTCGTAATCATTCTTTTAGGGTCCAAATGGTGTACCAGGCCCTGCTGGTAAAACTGGTAGTCCCGGTGAGGTGGGTGAAGCTGGTGAAGAAGGTCTTCAAGGTCCTGCCGGTGTTCCTGGACTGGATGTAAGTTATGAACACGTCAAATCCTAATCACAAATCCTATTTAAATTGTCTTAATTTTGATAATATTTAACTAACTCTATTAGGGCATTCGCGGTCCCCAAGGTCTTCGTGGTGCACCTGGTGCATCTGGTGTTACTCACGAACTCACTCCAGCACCTGGAAGCGAAGGTCCGAAGGGTGCGAGAGGTCCTACAGGTCCAGCCGGTCCCCCTGGCGACCAAGGTCCAAAGGGCGAACCTGGAGAAGCGGGTCCACCTGGTACTCCCGGTGAGCCTGGTGAACAAGGACCCTCTGGTCCCGCCGGTGATCCCGGACCTGATGGTGCACCAGGTCTCGATGGTGAAGTTGGCCAAGAAGGTGCTCCAGGTGAACAAGGTCCAAGGGGTCAACGCGGTCCCAGTGGTGAACCAGGTGCCATGGGTCCTCCTGGCCCACCCGGTAAAGCTGGTGCTCCTGGTCCTGTTGGTCCTCCAGGTTCAGCTGGAGAACCTGGTAAACGTGGCCCTACTGGTCCCCCTGGTCCAGCAGGCGTACGTGGCCCAACTGGTTCCCCTGGTGCCAATGGAACCGATGGTCATGAAGGTCGCAAAGGACCCCAAGGTCGTCGTGGTCCGCCTGGTGCCACGGGTCCAGCTGGTGACGCTGGAGCACCCGGTAAAGAGGGACCTCAAGGACCTCCCGGCCATCCCGGTTTTGTTGGTCCTTCTGGAGAACCTGGTCCTGAAGGTCCAGAGGGTAAAGAAGGCATCGAAGGTGCCCAAGGTGAACAAGGACCCCCAGGTCCTTATGGTGATATGGGTCCTCCTGGCCCAACAGGTGATCCTGGTCCAAAGGGTCGTCAAGGTCCTGCTGGAAAGCGAGGACCTCAGGGAGCACCAGGTTCTCGTGGGCCTCAGGGTGCACAGGGTCCACAAGGTCCTGTAGGCCTCAATGGTCCTTCTGGCCCTGTTGGTCAACGTGGACCTCGTGGAGCTCCTGGTCCAAAGGGCCCAAAAGGTCTCCAAGGTGAAAGTGGCGCCGCTGGTGCTGATGGAAATGATGGTGAAACTGGTCCCCGTGGTCCACAGGGCGCAGCTGGTAGTCGTGGAAAGGACGGTCTACCCGGAAAACGCGGTCCCATGGGTCCCAAAGGAACTCCAGGTGCCAAAGGTCCACCAGGTCTACAAGGTCCCCCCGGTCATGATGGTCCAAGCGGTTATCCTGGTGCTTCTGGCAAACGTGGTCCAACAGGTCCTACAGGTGAACGGGGTCCTCAGGGTCCTCCTGGTTTGCGCGGTGAGCCCGGTGATATGGGAGAGCAAGGGCCGATTGGTCCTTCTGGTAACGATGGTGATCCTGGACCAGCTGGTGTCCAAGGTCCCCCAGGTCCACCAGGTCCACCTGGTCCCCCTGGGTCAATCGTGAGTGTGCAATCTCGCCGATCACCTACCAAGGGCCTCCTTTATGGTGATGATCCCAAAGCTGCTCGCATCTTCGGTATGAACTCTGTCAAGTTCCCTCGTGGTACCCAGGAAGTTCCAGCTCGTACATGCGCTCAGTTGGCTGCAAACTTCCCTAACTTACCTGATGGTTAGTGTTCTCATAACCATCTTCCCAGCATTTACCTTAATTTCTAGTTTCTAGTTAATACGGGTCATCATTTTTAAGGTAAATATTGGCTTGACCCTAATGGTGGTCGTACACATGATGCCGTTCAAGTTTACTGCAAGATCAAGACTGGAGAATCATGTATCCCAGCTAAGAAATCCTTCCCTCTCAGCAGTTGGAGAGTGCCTGCCAAAAACGGTTCAGTCTGGTTCCAGAGTATCAACCAATTTGGGGAGGTCAGTTATTGCTCAAAATAGCACATGTGCGATTTAAAACGATGGTTCAATTTATTCCTTCTATTACCTTTAGTTTGACTATGCAATTGATGCCGATCAACTAGCCTTCTTGAAGGTCTTTAGTTCTCGCGCTTCACAGATTCTTCAACTCTCCTGTCAGGGTCTATCAGAGAGAAGTATTGTCCCTGACCTCTTGGCTGACGACGACACGATTTTGTCCATGACTCATCCCAAGCGTCGATTCACTATCTTAGAGCAGCAATGTGGAATGGTTAGTGCACCAGTCGGGTTTATTTCTATTCATTGTTTTGAACACAAAAATTTGCATTACATGGGTATGGAAGAACCAAGATCTTAAGTTTGAGATCGAATAGCTTAAGGCTATTTCCTCTTTGATCCACAATTGTGAATCTCTGACAACTGGTTAGTCATCCCATTAAGTTATTATTGGAAACTATTTAATATTTGCTTATAATTATATTCTCACTTTGGTAGATACACATATTTCTGTCTTACTCCCAAAATATCATTCAGCTATCATGAAATCAAGGAAATATAATTCAAAATCTCATTAAGGGTTTTCATAGAACGCATGTGCACACTTTTGACTTCAACTTTGATTAGTCACATATTGGCCAAACAAACGGGTCTAGGCAGGTGGCTCCATGCGCCGTAATTGTTTAGATTTTGTTATTGCTGTTGATACCTTAATGACGAGTTTCGTGGTAATTTTAGACCACCGAGGGGTCTACCGTCGTTGAGATTCAAACCAGACCATCCCGACTGCCGCTACGTGATATCAAATTCACTCCTAGCGTATCTGCTTTTGGTGTTCAGGTCGGAGAAGTCTGCTTCTCTTAGGTACACATGATGACTATTAAAAGGAAAAACTACAAGCACACAGACTCACACCCATACTTTCTCCAATCTCACACTAAGCCGCTGCAACGGCTCAATCCATTAAGATCTTCCTACCTGATTCTCTCCTCCTGATTTCTTCTAATCATGCACACAAAAAACGACAGTTTTACCGCTCTCTTTCACAATTCCATCTTTCCCACTACTTCTTCCCGGCCTACCTTCTTGTCCCATTCTCTAGTTGTTTTGGTTTTTGTACAACTATGCTATGTGCAAACAACCATGCTATGCACTCTTCTCCCTACCTCTCTCTCTCCCCCTCCTCTCTCCCGCAAATTCTGGGGGGGGGGGGGGTGAGAGCGGGAGGTGAGTCATAGCCGGGCACCGATGTTTGCAGAAATAAACTTTGCTGATCACTACACTAAACTGCTCTTAAAACCTCAAGTGGAGATTTGGAATTTGGTTGCTTGCTTAGTCAGTGTGATCATTTCTTAATGACTTTAGGGAATCCATTTAGGGTGGAAGGGTTAAGGTATTTGCATCAAATGGCAGGTGTCTTGATGGTTATCATTAGGCCTTAATTTTGACTTCAGGCTTCGGAGAGAGGAGGAGGAACATCAGAGTGAAAAAAGTCGAGAGGGGGGGGGGCAGAAGTGTTTCAAAGACAAAGGTAGAAAAAGGGTAAGTCGGGCACTGTATCAGTGATCGAATATGACATACAGTGGGGTGATGGTAGTTTGAAGTCAGAAGTCAACTGCCAATTTATAGACTTTTTTGCCATATGCGTATACGTTGCCCAGGGTGCACCACGTGGAGGTAAGTCTATCCCACACCCCGGTTGAGGTATTTATAATTATTGTATTTGACGCAAGAGACGAAGTTGAAATTTCAAGCCTTCGGTCTCATCAGCTTGTTTCGACCTACGAGTGGCGTTCTCTAATGCTCATTGAGGTATTCATAAAATTAGGCTAATAAGTTCAAATCCCCCCTTCCCCAGAATATGTCCAATTTTCGATATTAAAAGAACTAATGAATAGGCGTGTTTTGAAAGGCCCAATTAGAATGGTTCTTGGTTGACCTGAATTGACAAACGCAATGGGTTCACTTTAATGGGCTAAGTGCAACGTAGAAATACTAGACTGTATGAGTAGTTCGTTCATTTGAAGAACGAAATAGGCATCAAGATTGCCTCAGCAATGGAAATTCCTTTGCTTCAGGTTAGGAGAAGAAGAAGAAAAATAAAAGTCCTGGATATAAGTTTGTACTAAAAAATAAAAAATTGTGCTTGATTCACTTTTGGCTTATGTCTCAAGCTAGTGTTATTTCATCTGATGGCAGACGAGAGTGCACATCTCAGACTCCACTAAATTAAAAATTGTGAGTGGCGGTACCTTATAGTGTGCAATTTGATGTTAAGAACTGATATTTGTAACATTAAAGTAGTCAATCAATTTTAAGATGACGTGTGTTTATTGTTGCTGAAGAAAATACTACTGAATTTTCCAATTTTACTGACCTTCTATGTTATTTCAAAATAAATCGGGGAAAGGCAAACAGAATAAGCTCAAGGTCATGGGAAAGTCCTTGCTCAGTCCTCCGAAAAGTGGAGCCAAGTGAATGAGATAAACAAAACATACTAGAAAAAGTACACTACACCTTTGAGAATACAGCTCATTCCGACAAGTCACACAATCAGATATTATTGATTCAGATGTGCTACAAGTAACGATTAATAAGAAGTCGATCATGTGGTCACAGTTCAGGAGTATGGATACAACAACGAGAGTAGTAAAGATCTGCGAGAAACAATTGACTAAGTACAAGCAAAATGTCCCGGGGAAATGTGGGAATGGACGTGAAGGAAGGCATATATATATATATAGAAATAGACAAACAAAATAGACAGCAAAAAGTGTACCGCAAACAAGCAATTATAAGTCTATCTAAATCGTTCTAAAAGACTAAAAATCGATAAAAGGGCATTAGGTGGAAAGCTATACGTTATGGGACGAAAGTGGGCTCTAACAGTATTAGGGATATGTTGATAAACTTTCTGTAAATATAAACAAACATTTCCTGTGGTCAGAGGTAAATGTGTTGCAAATATCACCAATGCTATGCCGATGGGGTAAGAATATCAAATAAAATTAAACTTTTAACTGTCATTGTCGCCTAATTAAAGGGGTGTGTCCGTTAAAATGTAAAGTGCTTATAAAAAACGTAAAATTATCACCGTGAAATTTAGCGCAATCTCTGTGTATCCCTCGTCTTAACCACACCCTTAATAATGAGTTGGAATTTAAAAGTATCCTACGCCCTATGAGTTGGAATCACTGACATTTGCAACCCCTCTTGTCTAGGTCACGTGGTCAATCGATTAACTCTTGTCTGAGGTTGGCGTGACCGTGGTTGTCTGAATAGAATATGGATTTCGATCCTGCTTACAGGAGGCACAAACTTCATGCCTTTCGCGCTCAGAAACAAAGGGAAAATGAAGATCAAATAAAGCACCAAGAAAGTACAATCACAACTCCATACAAATCTTTTCCCGGTCTAACCCTGCATATTGGTGGTGCTCTTTCGAATGAAATTGAAAATTACAGAAGATGTGTGATTGCTTTTTTAACCTTCCTTGATTTCATAGCCCCTAGTTGGTGGGATAAGTTGCACTTATTTAACGAAAAGCAAGTTAAACGACCAAGCAAGAGTGCGGACATGATTGTGGAACTGAAAACACGATTAAAAGCTAAATTGGAACGACTAACACCAAGAATGGTAATACCCGCAGCTGCTGCAATTATCGCTATAGAAGAACAGGAAACTATTTCCGTTCTTCCGTCTAACTTCCTTCAGTTTCGTAATCGGAGAAATGCCCTCTTTAAAGTCAGTAATGTCCAAGAAACCCTGAAACTGGCATACTCCATTGCAAGACGTTTGGGAGAAGTTGAGAGATTGAAGCAACAGTTGATTTTGTACACAGAACAGTGGATCAATTCTGATGGTAGGGATTTCGATTTAAGAGCTCAAAGACTCTCTCTACTTGCGAACAATATTAGAGGATCCCTTGTAGAGAGGTTCAAAGGGGTTCAAGCTGTCATTACTCACTACTATCGTCGAAGATCTCCAAATAGTCAGGTCAAAGTGGAGAATAAATTACCGGTGGGGATTAAGCCAGACTCGAAAACTCGACTTGCGAATGCATTCAATGAAGTCACAGCAGAGAGCTTTAGCAAAACAAATGATGAAATTTTTAGAATACTAGCCGAAGTTGAGCAAACGCAAACAATTGATCCAGCTTTCATAAATAATTACACCCATAACTATGTAGCAAAACTCCTTCCAGCGGCGAAATTTTCATTCGATTCTGTTGAATCAAACGAAGAAGGCACTTCTTTTGGAGATTATTTCAAACCTATGGAAGGCAATATGGATCATTTACCCCTATCTTCTGCCAGTCAGGGGCTCTTTGAATTCCAACAACATAATGAGGCGGGAAACCGGGCTCTGACTAAATGCAGAGGAAGAGCGAATCATATTGAATCTGACAATGAAGGGAGCGAGAGATCCCATGAAATTCCGGAAGTAATTGGCTATGCACAGAGAAATTCTTATTCCGAGTTAAGGAGGAATCGAGAACACGGCCATTTGATCAGCAAACTACTAACGTCTAGTGAACCCAAGTTTTTCATGAATGAGAGTGACAATCCAAAACTTGAGAATATTGGCAGCAAAATTACATTGTTCCGGCTGTCATCCAGTTTTGA